TTAAGCAGCCCCTGTAGCCGTGCACTGACCTTCACAGCATGAAAGCTGCTGCTTCACTTCTACCTCCCACCTGCTCCACAAATATCCATTGTGGACAACCCTGACCTGGAACCACATAGGGAAGGTAATTCTGAGAAGTATAGTTCCAGGTTGGTTAAGCTGACCCAATACCAAACCAGCACAATGATGTTCCTATCTTTGGCCTCTGAGAAGGAATGTTCCTATGGCCCTTTATTAAGGTAAAGAGGGCAACCTGTTGGAAGGCACATTGAAGCAGAGCTTTCTGACTCACCTTCCTACTCGGGTTTGCCACAGGGTTTGCCCAGTACTTTTACCTGGTCTGAAATGCCAACCCTTACAGATACACACAGACAATTGCATGGGTTAGAAATGAAAGAATGTGATATAGTCCTAGGTCACTGTTAAAATGTGCCCATTACTTTGGTGGTCCCAGCTCTCTACCAGTAGTACAGAGCAGCTGACACTTACCAGGCATCTGGAAATGCAACGAGGAAACCTGAGCACTTGCAAGAGACGCTTAAGAGGTGATTTTTGCAGGTAGGTAGTAGCATTTAATGCTGAGAGGCTGTCAGGGTGAGCAGAGGAAGAGGACTGGAAGAGACACCTTGTGGCTTTGATGGGAGAATTAGTCCAGGTGATTCATTACAGGTGTTGTTACTGGGAGACGGGTGGGGGCTCTTGCCTGAAGGTGTGGGTGCCCAGGGAAGAGAGGACCATACCTGGCAACCTGGCTTTCAGTGCCTTGAACCAGCCATGAAAAAAGAAGAAAAATTTACCTGCAATCCCAAAGAAAGCTCTTATCAACATTTTGGTGTGAACCCTTTGTAGTCTGTTTCCTAGTTCAAATACATATCTGTCTTTAAAAGAAAAATGGAATCATAGTATATGTAATATTTCCTGTAACATTTTGCACAAAAGAACCTATTTTTCTTTTAGCGTAGTCTTTTTTTTCATGTCACTAATATCGTCCCCTAATAGTGTTTACATCCATGTAAGGATTTCATTGTATGAATGTACCCCAGTTTACCTATGAAGTGATTAATGGCAGAGACTCTGAGGAAGGACTTCTGGGGGTCAAATCCCAGGTCTTCCAACATTTACTAGCTGTGAAAACTTGGACAAGTGAGCTGAGCTTTTTGGGCTTTAGTTTCCTTACCTGTAAAATAAAGATAATAGTATTTCCCTCAGGTTGTTCTCTGAAACAACAGGAGCAAATGACTTTTTACATGCAGATAATCTCTCAATGTTATTATTTAGCCAATATTTTTGTTGGATATTTAGATTGTTTCCAAGCTTTTCACTCTTACAAATACGCTATGATTAACAAATTCAGTGTACTCTTAATTGCTTCCAAAGGAAATATTTGTGGTCACATTAAGGAATCTTTTCCGGAGTGAATCATGTGCTCAACATACATTGAGTGTCCATGTGTACAAAGAATCATGCTATGCACAAAGAAAAGTGAACACAGTTCTCTTAGACATTTAAAATGCAGTAGGGGCAGAGAAAAGGCACATTCGTATACAAATATCATACTATGCAAAAGTATAACACCATGTAGATAGAGTGGCACACATAAAGAACTATGGGAGAGGAGTGAAGAGCGAGTACCTTCAGCGGAGAATTAAATCATGCAATAAAAGGTAAATAAAGATTTCTTCTTCAGCTCTTACCATTTCCCAAATCCTCAATTCAGAATTCAGAATGGTTTCCATTTGTCATGCTGAGAATTTTTTACCTTGAAGGAGAGCACTAAAGGCTGTGTTCCAAAGTTAGAAGCCAAGATATGGGCTTACATTGCAAGACCAAATATTTAGGAAATACCTTTTTTCTGGAAAGGAAAGAACACATTTCACAGTTGAAAAGAGAAGTGAAAAATGAAACTAAAGAAGCATGAAGGTAATATTTACTTGCTAGATTTATACAGTGCCTACCTTTAGAAAAAGCCTGGCTATAAATCCAGGACGTGCCCCTCCACCCTCAACACACATGCACTCTGTTCTCAGTTATCTGGCTCTTCGTGAATTCTGTGCAGCATATTTTGTGGTTGTGTTACTGTTATTTTAAACTGTTCATTCCCTGCCCCCAACCCAGCTCACCCTCAGTCATTTCCTCCAAAAGTAGGATCATGGTATGAATGCAAGTTTGGAGGCAGGCACTCTGGATTAAGTCCAGGTCCCACAGTTTACCAGCTGGGTGACCCTGGACATGTAACTTAAGTCTCTAAGTCTCAGTTTCCAATATGTGAAATAGTGTTAATAAAAATAATATCACCTACTTCCTAGGACTGCAATGAGGATTAAATGAATAATGCTTGTAAAGCACCTGTCCCAACACAGAACACTCAATAGTGTTAGCTATTATTATTATTCCTATTCTATAGTGTATAAAGGTGATGCAAACCAATTTTAATATTAATTTAAACAAATAATCATGTACATAGGCCTCTGAAACACAGACCTATAATGTGTCCTAAAGCTAAATGGAGAAGATATTTGGATTTATGTCATTCTAATTTTTTCTATCAGGTTGAAAATTGAGTATGAACACACCAGAATGGTAAAGAGGCCAGATTTCACTGGTACACAAAAAAATCTAGATTGCTGTTCACAGTAGAATGAAGATGATTGATAAGGTTAATGCCTCTCACAGAGACATTTGCATTTTAAACTGGGGCCAAAACCCTTGGCCAAAGGGAATAAAGCTGGAATGGTGAGGTTTCTGATATGAAACAGGGGACAGAGGGAAGCGTTTTGATACAGTGAGTTGTAGCACTCCTGAAACCATCTCATTCATTCACTCATTCATTCATTTGCCATTCAGTACATATTGATTAAGTACATATTATATGTCAGGCTTTGTTCTATGCACTTGGGATACACTGGTGAACAAAAGGACAAAGATCCCTGTCCTCATGGGGTTTACATTTTAGTGAGGAATAGAGACGATAAAGAATCCAATTAATGAATAAATAGATTATATAGTATGTTGGAGAGGAATTAAATGCCACATTAAAAAAAGAGAAAGGATGAGATTGGAGTGCTGGGGGTGGAATGGGCAGGTTGCTGTACTAAACAGGGTAGTCATAATGAGGCCCATTAAGGAAGTAAGATTCAAGAAAAGTCTTGAAAAAAGTAAGAGAGTTCACCCCAGGTGTATATCTGAGGAAATAGTGGGGACAGCTAGAGTAAAGGGCTCAAGATGAGACAGGCAGCGGGGGGCGGGGGAGAATGAGAATATATGAATAGTTCCTGGAGTGTTCAATAAGGAGGCTGGTGTGGCTGAAGCAAGTGGGAGAGCAGTTGGAGAGGAAGGGATGAGAAGTTGTTGTACACGGCTGTTCATGTGGGTCCTTGCAGGCTGCTCTAAGGACCTCGGCTCTTCCTAGGTGAATTGAGGAGCCACTGAAAGGCTCTGAGCAGAGCAGTGCTGTGACCTGACATTTTAAATAGATGACTCTGTTGTATTGAGGAGAAACTACGGGGCTGCTGGGGAGGGGAGAACAGGGAAAGCAGCCTCTGCACAAACCCCGTTGAAAGATTATGTTGGCTCAGACCTGGGGGCAGCCGGAGAGACATTGAGAATTGGATTCAGCTGAAGGTAGAACCAATGGGTTTCCTGAAGGATTGGATGTAGGAGAATGAGAGAAAGAAGTCAAGAATGATTCCAGATTTTTTTTGGCCCCATCAAATGTGACAGGGAAGGCTGTGTGAAGTGCAGGTTTTGCCCAGAAAAAGGGATTCAGTGTTTGTTTGTGGACATCCAAGTAGAGACTGAGGTTGGTTGGCTGTGTAACCTGGCATTGGGCTGCAGATACAAATTCGATATAGACAGCTGCTAAAACCCACGAAGATGGAGAGGATCACCCAGGGAATGAGTGTGGATAGGAGGTGGGGAGGTCCGAGGGCAGCAAGGTCCTTGCTCACAAGAGAGAGATGTAGGCTCCCCTGCCAGGATTTAGGAAGCCCACTCCAGAGGAGCCCAGGCCTGCAGGGGGTGCCGTGAACCTTCTGTGGCTGCAATGAGATGGGAAGAGATGTTCACCTCTTCGGGACGGAGAGGGTACAATACATTCCTGCCTGAGTGGCAAACATAATTAAGAGACGTGGATAAAGATACCCTACTAGAACACGTGCTCCGTTGCCTCCAAGGAATTAGAAAACCTGGGTCCATTAATCTGTTTAGACATCTGGGCACCACTGCCTTGTCTAGGTGGCTCCGCCCTCCCGCCCTTTCTCCTCTCTCACCTCCCATCTTCCCATCCTCGCCTCCGTGTATCACTTCTACAGCCGCTCTGATTATCACTGATCACACAGAACCACGGAATCATGGCTCATTTTGCGGTTTTGTTCAGTGGCCCGATAAGCAAAAAGACTCTGGTAGTTGGACAGATTGTAGTCCCCTCTGTTGGAATTCCGCTCACAGAGGCCTTCCCGCTGTGGACGGCTGCTCAGGGACGCCGGCGCTGCCGAGAATAACGGGGGTGGGTGGCTGGAGGTGGCTGGGAGTGCGGCGGGCGACGGTACGGCGCCTGAGCCTCACGTCCGCCCACGCCCCGCCCCCCGGGGGGCGCCGCGCGCAGACCCCCACCGCCGGCCTCTCCAGGCCCGCACCTCGCCTGCGCCCTTTGACGTCATGTGGGCAGCGGGACTGGTCCGCGGTGCGGCCAAGGGCCGAGCGGGTGCTCACCGGGACCTCGGTCAGCGCTGTGCGCCCTGCGTCGTGCGCCCGGTTCCTGCGCGCCGCCGCCGCGCCACATCTGGAAGCGTTCAGCGCGTCTGCCTCCAGCGCGCCGGGCGGGCGGGCGGGGAGGGCGCGGGCGCGGGCGCGGCGGCGGGCTGGGCTGGAGGCGGTGAGCGCGGCGCTCTCGCGCGCCCCGTGTCTCCCTCTCTCTGCCTCTGCAGAAACAGCTCCTGCCAGAACGGCGCTCGGCGCAGCGCGGCCCGGAGCGGCGGCTCCTCTTCCTGCCTCCGCGCCTCCGGAGTTGCTGGAGCTTCTTGACAGAACAGAGCCGAGCTGGGGCCTTGGGAGGACTGGCCGGGAGCGGCGGAGAACCTTCAGCTCCCGGTCTGGGGGTCCATCGCTGTCCTCGCCCCTCCTCTCTGCCTCTTCTCGCGCTGCCTCCCTCGGTTGATTTTTTCAAACGGTGTAGCCGCCAGAGGTGCGGGGCTAAATTCTTGGAAGGGGCCCGGATGTACTGAGGATGCATTACAATTTCACTCAAGGAGGCAGTAGTAGAAAGGAGCAGTTTTTGGTGTTTGATGCAATAATGGGAATCAGGTAATCATCAGAAGGGAAGAAGAAATACCGCAGCTCCACGGCTTCCTTGAATTTTGCACGAAAGCCTCCTGCCTCGGAGGAGAGATTAATCCAGACCCGCCGGGGGGGTGTTTTGACATCTCTTCCTCTTTGTGGCTTCTCCTTTTAAAACAATTTTTGGTCAATGGTCAATGAAAACACGAGGATGTACATCCCAGAGGAAAACCACCAAGGTAAGCCTGGCCCCGCCGCCCGGCCGAGGCCCTAGCGCGGGCTCCCGCCCTCCCCGCCCGCTCCGCTCCGGCTCGCCCCGAGGACGGTCCCTGCGGAGTTGCCTGGGTCGCCTCCGCCTCTCCGGACCGGCGGGACCGGGACCCGAACCCCTTGAGACCGGGCGGAAAATTCCCGCCCCTCCCCCTCCCGTGCCGGCTTCTCCGTCGCATGTGTTTCCTATGAAATTACAGACGAAGGGGAAAAGTTCCCCAAGTGTCTGCTTCTGCCTCGTTTTTTCGCCTGTGCCTGGAAAACCCAACTGCCCGGTCCGCCGCGCGCGTTGGGAAGGGGGCGCCGCTGTCTTCCAGCCCCGCCGGCCGGGGTCCCTCGCCTCGCCCGGGGTGCGGCTGGGAGCGCGCGCGCGCTCCCCGCACCAGGCCGCCGCCCGGCGCCCCAGTCGCTTCCAGGGGCCCCTGCCCTAGGCAGCGCGCTCTGAGGGTCCGGGGATGCAGACGCGAGGTTTCGCTCCTCGCTCCCACGGCTCACCTCCACCCACCCATCTCTCCATGCCATTGACCCCGAGAGTGCCTACGCCCGGTGTGTTCTTATTTGCACCCACATGTGGGCTAGCACCTGAGGATGTAAGCGGTAAGAATCGGGCGGTGTGTGGGCTTTGCTTTTTCATATTTTAAGGAGATAATTAAAGGGTGTGCCGAGCTCACACGGCTCCACACTGTTGACCAGTGTTCTCTAGGCATCTTCATCTTGGGCATCAAGTGTCACCAGCTCCCCCTGTGAGAAGAAAAGGCTTTCAGGTAACTATCCACTTCCTGAAAACTTTCTCTCCCGCCCTCCTTATTAACAAGTTATTATTTTTTGGCATCACTCAGCAATTAAGGTCATGATGGAGTTTCGAGGGGTGGTCTTGCTGGAGTGTGGCAGCTCCGGCTCCGTCTGTGTCTGTTTTCCCTGGTTTTCTCTGTCTCTGGGTGTAGTCGCTCCCTTTTCTCTCCCAGTTTCTCAAGCCTCCCTGTTTACACTCTTCTTTCAATCTCTTTCTCCTGAATACCTGTCGCTATTGGTCCTGTTACTTACTGGGGTACTTCAAGTGATCCTCGGAGGACCGGCCTGGGGGGAGGGGCTGTCTCCATGTTTCTTTTTTCCAGCCTCCTCCCTTCCTTTGCCCCCATTTCCGCCATCTGGGGACATTGTCCCTGCCCTTTAGAGCTAGGGGCTTCCAGGCACCCTACCTGCCTGATCTCCGTCCATCCTCCATCCTGAAACTGGAGCTGGGGTGGCAGTGTGGGGATTTGGGCCTCTTTTGGTAGAAAGAATTTTGTCAAGGGTCATGGGTTCTAGGGTGGGCCGGGGCTTTGGGGTGATGAAGGCCGCTTCTGTCCCTCGATTTCTGTACCCCATGGCCCAGCCCCCATCTCTTCTCCTGTCCCCTTCTTAGCTGATGGAGTAGGGGATGGATCAGGAGGGAGGGAATCAGAGACACAAAGGAAAGGGCGATATGTGTGAAGAGTGGGGATGGATTTCTCCCCCCCCCAAGTTCTCAGCTCAGTCTGAGCAGCCTTGGAGAGGAGAGCGCAGTAGTATTGTCCTTACTCTACTAACAATGGCAGTACACTGTGGTAATAATTATTAGTCACCTAATGATAACCTTAGTTCACAAGTTCGCCTCTTAGTGCACGATATACCCCTTCTTAGCCCTTTTCCTTTCTTTTGCCCCTTTGTCCCCCAGCAGCCCCCACCCCACACACAAATGCAGGGAGTAGACATTAAAAGTAGGAGCTGACCCTGGAGAGGTTTGTGTGGAAGATGGAGGGAAAGGGAGGGAGCAAGCAGGGCTGAGAGCTCTGCCTTTCCAGCAACATGCCAACGAACACTATGGCAACCTGAATTCCAGTTCTCTCCCTAGAAGCTGCAGTGATTATATAATTCACGGGAGCGGGTTTGCCTCCATTCCTGGATGCGGTTCTCAGGTGAAAGAGCACCAGGGTCTCTGTCTCCCTCCATTTCCCACCCTGTCTTCCTGCCTCATTGGCACTGCCCAGGTGTTTTGGGGGGAGAAGAGGAGGATGGTGACGAAGGTGGGGAGAGGCAGACCTGGAAGAGCATGAGTATTTACTAGGAAGGGGTTGCCGTGACTTAATAACCGAAGGGGCAATGAAACATAATTGGGGGTTAGAGTTTCAGAAGAGAGAGAAGCAGCCAAGTGATTACCTCAGAGCAGTGATGGTGACGAACCAAGGAGTGGAGAACCGAGAAAGTTGCCAGTGGTGGGGCTTCTCTTCCTGACAGGCTGGAAGGCACTGGGATCAGCCCTTTCTTCCCCAACTTCTCTATGCTTCTCTCTCTCTCTCTCTCTCTCTCTCTCTCTCTCTCGTATTGAGAGTCCAGGTATGGAGGTGGTGGTCAGCTCATGGGAACAGCTGGAAGTTCCCTGAAGGACTGGCTTCTGACCCTGGGTTTTGGCTGGAAATGGCTCAGGTGGGCCTCACCTCACCTCTGGTGCCCTCTCTGCTCTGGTCTCACCCTAGCCTTCCACTTTTCTGGGCTGATTTTCCATTTCAGTCTCCAGCTAGCAAACAAGTTTCTTAGTCAACCATTTAACAAATAAAACATCAGTCTGTCCCTTATCTGCTGGAGACAAGGCAGAGGGGAGAAGCATGTTCTGGGAGTGGAAGACACACGGCTTTCTTTTCAACAACTTAGCAATACAGCAGAACGGTAATCATCCTAATAAAGGAATAATAATGATCACAGTTAACTCTCTTGATAAATGGCCAAAGGACAATGTTGCTTGCACCTGAGCCTGTGCAGGTTAACGAAAACATGACATTAGCTTCTCTTTCTCTGGATACTGCATGGAGGAAACTACAGAAAAAGGGCTATTGAGGTTCAAAATATTGTTTCTAGTATTGCTCAGGCACTTCGCAGTGTATCAGAATACTACATAAGAGGTTATATTACAAGAAACAATTACTCATTATTTCCATAGGACACATGCTAACAGTGTTTAAGTGTGTGCTTGTACACACACCCCTGGTCCCCCCACACACAGAGAATAGGGTGAAGCTCTTTTAAGTAGATTACACAGGAGACTGACGCACATTGGGGACCCTATGTGTTGTGGAGAGGAATCTGGGCAATGCAGTCTCCTAAGAGTGTTTGGGCATTTGTACCTCATATTAAGTGGATAATTGTTCCCTGCAGGTGCGTGCTGCTCTGCAGGTATAGTATACTCTGCAAATGAAATGGTGAGCCATTAGTCCCTGGAGTCATCTCTCAGAATCTCGGGGATGACTTAGAACTCTTCCTTCAGTTTTGCTCTTTGACTTAAAATTGCCCGAGGTGGGTCCTTCTGCGTATAAGATCTAGACTGAAGGAGTCCAGGGAGCATAGTGAACGGGGATTTTGAGGCCCTGGCAATCTTTTCTCCCCTCTTCCTAGTACAGACGCTGGCCATTCTAGGCCCTTAAGATATGACTGAATGAATGCTTGCCTGCATGAACCAATGAATGCAGATCCAGCAAGACCTAAAGGAGCTGTAGTTTCTGCCTCTCCCAGTAGGTGGCACTCCAGGGCTTAGGAGTCAGGACAGGGGCACTCCTGTTGGGTTTGGTGAGGAAAGATGTCGGAGGGTTTGGAGAGAATTTCCTGTCTGTTGTGCCACTTTCATCATGCCCACACCTGCCCCATGCAGAGAACCCCAAAGACCAGTGTGAGTCCCCACGCCACCACACACAGACACCAGTATGACCGAGTCCCCTGGTAACTTTGCCACCCTCTGGCAATGAAAACACACTTTGGATTTCTCCCACCCTATTGCACCCTCTTACTTCAGACTTCTGTTTACCTGTAGTGCAGACAGCGCCCTACAGAGCCTTGAGGGAGGCTTTTGGACGATTAGCTGAACTAGTTATGGCTGTATATTAATTTTCTCCCCGATTTCCCATGGATGGTTTAACCAGAGGGGCTGGTGGAGCTTGAGGCGACCTAAAATTTGCGATCTGGAAACCCTAACCTATAGGGTTACAAAGCTTGTCAACTCAAGGACAAGAAATCGTTTTCTTTATTAAGGAAAAAAACCAAAAACAACTGAGTACACTTCACAACTGATTTCTGTTTATGAGTCTGGCTGGTCTCCTGCTGGGTAATGGCAGAAAAGCTCCTGAGACCTAGGTTAGGAAGTAACTGAGGTTTGTTCTCATTTTCAGTGATGTTTTCCAAACTCCTGGTGTTTTCTTTTCTATCCCTTTCTTCACTTGGCTTTCTTAGTTGTTGTGGCAAGGTCTATGAGGTCTGAGAAACTCTTGCCACTGTGTTAAGAGAGGGTGAGGGAGTGGCCAACAGCACTTTCTTCCTTTTACAGTAATTCTTCCTGCCTGGTGTTGCAGCTGTTTGTTACAGGTCAGCCGGGGTCCTTCCAACTGTTCCTTCCGGGACTCTGGAAATCAGTCCTCAGCATTCAAAATCAGGGGACAATTTCATTTTCTAATATGGGCTAAGGAAAGCTGATAGATTTGTTTGGGAAACACCTGGAGACTTAACAATGAGACTAATTAGCAAAATAATCACACTGATTTAGTCAGTTTCTAGAGTCCGTCCTCACTGTTGTGTAAGTTAATGATGGGCACTGTGGAGGAGAGCAGGAGACTGACAAAAAAGGCACGGGAACTGTTTTGCAAAGTATCAGGTGCTAAATATTTAGCTACATGGGTGTTAAACATCCTGATAATGAAACAACACTCCAAGCCATGACTGTCATTATTAAAATAATTTAGTAAACACCTGTTTACATGTACCTCAAGGTTAGATACTGTATTTAAAAAAAAGTGACAGGACCCCACTGGGAAAATGAAATGCCTTTCACCGCTGTTTGAAAGACAGACACGAAGACTTGAATGGAACCCATCACAGAAAAAGTGAAATGGAGGGCCGTAGTAATTAATGTGATATCCCAAACTCAGGTACTGTGGAAGAGGTCTTCTGTGTCTTAATTCCCAGATGC